GTTATTTCATTGAGGTTCTGGTTTTAGTGTAAAAATGGCTTATCAACATTTTTATAGCTGGAGAGGATTCTGTCCCTTTAGAGATATTTTGCTATAAATGTGACGGAATGCAGGATAAAGGGACACTCTGCATAATATAACATCCTACGTTCCTTAAACAAGTTATACAGCAATTAGGTCCCATGTCATCTATGATGGCAGTGATATGCTCAAATTGCTACAGCTATAAGGCTGCGGTGTCATGCTCACTCACCTGTTTGACCGCATCCCTGCTTCCAGACTCCACTCCAGTAGTTCCAACGCCGGCCGCTGTAACTCTGCCCCTTTTCATGATGCGGCGCAATGCCGCGTGTGTGCTGACGTCATGCTGCCAATGACGTCACAGTCCGTCATGACGTCCGAACCCGAACGTTTTGGGGGCATGGATTCCACTTTAATGAGTCAGTCTATAAAAGGCTGACTCACACATAGGACTTTGCCTTGTTGTGGTTCAATTGTTAGTTCCCAATAGCGCTTCCTACCTGATTGTTCTTTTTGGTATCTTGACCTCGGCTATCTGACTACTCTCCATTCTCCTGTTCTTGATTCGGCTCTCATTCCTCGTTTAGTCTCATATCAGGTTCCCTAGTATTCGGCTAGTATATATGTTTTTGTGATTTCTGTATCCCTCGAACCCAGCTTGTTCTTGACTATTCTCTTTCTGTCAATCGTAAAGTCTGGCCACTCTAAGGTCCGGTATACGTTTTTCTATTACACCCTGCGTGTTGGGTCTCCCTGGAGCCCTGACATGTGGCTATTGTTCCAAACATTAAAGGACCACTCTAGGCACCCAGACCACTTCAGCTTAATGAGGTGGTCTGGGTGCCAGGTCCAGCTAGGTTTAACCCTTTTTTCTATAAACATAGTAGTTTCAGAGAAACTGCTATGTTTATAATAGGGTTAATCCAGCCTCTAGTGGCTGTCTCATTGACAGCCGCTAGAGGCGCTTGCGTGCTTCTCACTGTGATTTTCACAGTGAGAAGATGCCAGCGTCCATAGGAAAGCATTGAGAATGCTTTCCTAGAGACTGGCTGAATGCGCGCGTGGCTCTTGCCGTGCATGCGCATTCAGCCGAGGAGGCGGAGAGGAGGAGGAGAGCTCCCTGCCCGGCGCTGGAGAAAGAGGTAAGTTTAACCCCTTCCTCCCCCAGAGCCGGGCGGGAGGGGGTCCCTGAGGGTGAAGGCACCCTCAGGGCACTATAGTGCCAGGAAAACGAGTATGTTTTCCTGGCACTATAGTGGTCCTTTAAAGGAAGGGGCTATACTTTATTTTTCGTCTACCCATACAAATATCTTTAGAGCATGTGTACAAATATGTTGTTTGATTTGGTGGATCAAGATTGAGCCTTTGCCAGTGGAATCTTGATTTCTTATTTATTGGGCAGACTAGATGGGCCGAATGGTTCTTATCTGACGTCACATTCCACGTTTCTATGTCGAAACGGTCGAAACGTTTATTGTGTTAATACACTTTGAAAAAAATCCATGAGAGTGCTCTTTTATTTACGTTTGTATATTTTTGCGCTGTGAAGCACCCAGGTATTTATTGAGATATGGTGTTACTTTGTTTTGGTTAGTAGTGTCAGAAGTTAGACTATTGTAGGTATATATCTATAAATATATATATATATTACATATATATTTATATATATGTAATAATAATATATACTGAATTCTATAATATACAGTATTTATTTATTAAATATATAGTATAAACATACAAATATAGATGTCTTCCCCTCTATTGGTCAACTCTCATTCTATCTGTGAATAAAATCAATATTTAGTTGCTGCGCCCTTCTTTATCTTTCCCCAATGATCTGGGTTTTTTTGCGTCAGAGGTAGTACTCTGAATACCAAATGAAAAGAACATATCCAGCCATTGCGCTAGTCATTTGATCGGTTATACATTTGAATGATGCTTCGGTGAAACAACATTCAGCAGAATAACCTACAGGTACAAATCAGGCCAAATCAGAATGCACAAGTCTAACTGTCCCATTTGTGTAGGTGAGCACTATACACGAATTGGTAACTGCGGTATTATCTATTTTTTTTGTTTTATTTTTATCTGTTTTTAAAGTTCTAGAGTCGATTTAAACACTTTTCCTTCTTGCATGCTTCCAACAAAAAGGTTACATTGTGATATAAATAACCCGACTCTACTGTAGGGATTGTCATGCGTTGCCTGCTTTCAAACCAGCGGCAGTAAATTCGTGGAAACTATTAATTGAGAGAGGGCTCATTCTAGATCTGTTTTATACATAACATTTTCATATTGCTATAAAACCAGAATGTGCTGCTGAACCCATACCTGGTTTGTGCATTTATAAAAAGCTGGAAACTAGCAATTTCAGAGACTGTAAAAAATTTGAGGTCAGGAAGCAAGTTCTATAGAAGCGGAATCTAAATATAAAACCTTAACTCCCTGCAGGTTACTCTGATCTTTGGAGTATGAACAAAGAAATGTTGCACAGTCCTTTCATCAGAATTACTATTTACAATGTATAGTTATATAAAAATGATTTATTTTTAAAGTATTGTTTTTATTAGGCTGAGCCACTAGGCGCTTATTCACTAAGGTGCTATTTGTGAAGAACAGGCATGGGAATTGCAAGCTTTAAGCCAAAGTAGCTAAAAATGGAAATACAACTGGTTTAGACCGTATTTACAATGTTTCTAATGTAAGGTTTGTCCTAAAATTTGGAAATCCATTGTCAATATTCAATAGTCTGTGCAGAAATTTTGTAAACCCCTCTTGATCCATAATTAGGTGTGGAAGACAATAAAAAAAAAATGGAAGAAAGCTTGTATGTATTTTTACACTACAAATATCTGTGTGTTTTATATATATAAAACCAACAAGGTTATGGTGGGGAAAAATTGTGATTGAAAACCCCTTCCACCTGAAGACTGTGGATAGTTAATAGAATGTTAAACAAAAATCTGCACACCAGTCAAGCCATAAGACTTGCTCTTCCCACAGAAATTTGCAGTGATGTTACTACCGCAAAGGATTCTGGGTGGGCATATGCAAATTAGTTTAACAAAGAATCACATTTTTGCCTCATTTAATTTTAAACATGTATTCCTTTGAGTCTGTGTTTACTGTATACAACAGCTTGGAACACAATTTAGGAAAAGATGCAAAGCCAGTGAACCACTCATGGACAGCTGTTTCATTGTTAATGCAAATCATCAGCATGAGGTTGGTTACTGGTTTGCTTATTGAGGCTTGGTAGTCCACAGTCCCTCAGGAGGAAGGGGTTTTCAATCACGATTTCCCCCCCACCATAACCACTGCCAAGCCTCAATAAGCAAACCAGTAAACTGTTCCTTTAAGGATCATTTCACCATCATATGAGTTTTTCATGAAACTTACAACGGGCATTCCTTTGTTATGAGTTACCACGTATTATATCTGGACGTCAGTTCCAATTACTCACTGTACTAGTGCCTAGAACATAAGAGAGCCCACTACCTTCTGAACGCAATGCCATCTGGCCTCGCACCATGTGCAAATCCTTTTACAACCTCATTGAACGGGGGCATGTTCCCACTTCTTAGTCATATTTCTGTTTCTATAAAAAAACAAAAACGCCCACGGAACTCTTGGAGAGATGGTACTTGCAAACCATGTGGCAGAAATTAGGTGAACCACAATGAAACCTCTGTACACATGCTGCTCAGGGTATATTATAGTGACCTTTCCCACCGTAGATTCTCTCACTGTATTTTTCTTATACACGGATTTCGAATATTGTGTGACCTCCAGTCTCAAGCCGGACGGCATGTACTGTATGTATGCTGCGTCTAATCACAAGAGCCATCCATCACCTCCTCGCAGGCTGCAGCGAACAGAAGCTAAAATATTGTTTTCAATCGCAAATAAAAAAACTTTATATTTTGAATGATTTAACCCCTTCAGGACCGAGGATGGTTCAGGACCGTCATCGGCATTTTTGCGTTGCCTACCGTTGACGGTCCTGAACCGTCCTAACGGTCCAATGTACTTACCCGATCGCCGTCGTTCCCCCGGCGGCGATCGGCGGTGCTCCCGTTGTGGGGAGACTGCCTGCAGCCCAGACAGTCTCCCCGCGGCGGATTAGGATCCCTGGGGCCATGTGATCGCTCAACAGAGCTGTCACACGGTCACAATAAGTGTCCAATGTCTGCCTGCAGGGGGACTGTCTGTGCTGACAGGCAGTCTCCCTGCTAGTGTAGGAGAGGTTTGACTGTGAGGGTAGCTTATCAGGTGAACCTGTTAAGAATCCCCTTTACATTTAAGTTAGGTTACAAAATCCCCAACTGTTTGCAATTGATGAGTTCAAACACACTCAAACAAAGAACAGGTTTACTAACGGTTAATTTATTTTCTTTTTTTTTTTTGAAATGGTAAAAATCTCTCAATTCATCATGGGCCTTAATTACATTGTGAAGTAAAAATCAATTGTTTAGCAAAAATCATGCAAGTGAGATTTGCTCAGAAAACCTTACATTTATCTTGTAGGTATTTCTATGATATCTTGTGCCTTGCTTTTTACTCGAAAACTGTTACCATGATTTCTTGCCCAAATTCTTGAAGTTTTGATTCCAAGTACACTGTCACTGCCTCTTTTTAGTTGTAAAAAGTGAGAAGAAGTTGAGTAAACACTCCATACAATCTTGTACAGATCAAAGCTGTAGTAAAACGTGAGGAATGAGACCCTATAGATGAGCAGAGGCCTAAAGGTGACCTCCCAATTCAAAAGGTGACTGCTGTGTAGAACACAAAGTCCATCAGGATTCGCTGTGGCCATTGTCCTCCTTACTTTGAGCCTTTGTGCCTGTGAGCAGGTCTTTAATAGCTGGTCCTCCATCACTCCCTATTCTGTCATCCTCCATTTCTTTCACACACTTCTTGGTGCGCAAGCGAATGTCCCTCCATTAAATCTTTAATTCGTTCTCAGTTCTGCGTGTTGACTGGGCATTTACCTAGTGCTGTATTGTCTGCCATCTGCAACTTGTTTTTCTGCAATTGGTGTTGATTTCACAAATCTACAAAAAATAAATAAAATTCATGACTCCCAGCCATCCACTCACTGCCATTACCCCCACTCATACATACACACTCAGCCACAAATCTGTATTCATTACCCTCAGCCATTCACGCACAACCATTATCTCCAGTCCGCAGGTCCAGCACCAATCTGAGTTACCTACCTGTACATCCAGTTACAGTGTGAGTTACCTACCTGTAGTCCAATTACAGTGTGAGTTACCTACCTGTACATCCAGTTACAGTGTGAGTTACCTACCTGTAGTCCAATTACAGTGTGAGTTACCTACCTGTACACCCAGTTACAATCTGAGTTACCTATAAAACACAATTTTAGAAAGGAAAAATTGGTAAAGGTGCTCAAATCACCAAGTGTGAGTCACTCCAAATCACACAGAAAACCATATAATGAAATATAAATAATATAGTGAGAGCAATCTCTATACACCAAATAAAACAGATATAAGAGTAGGCAATATTACCATATGGCTGCAATGTCCTGAAAATAGAAAATAAGGAACATAGTATAGCCTGTATAAAATATACAAAAAGTAAATAAAATGTAAAATTGCCCACTCACGTGATGCTGAGCCGTTCAGTGGCTCAGACTATAAGCGCCTTATAAGAATAATTGAGACCACAATGCTGGAAAGGCAGGTTAGGCTGATCACTGTCCAAATTCCCTTTTGTGACTGAATGGAAGATCAAGTCAGGAAATGCAGGAACAAACTTTTATTCGCCAACTATAGCATATAAAATGAAGTCTCATAAGTTATTGCACTAACGCGTTTCAACCTTAGCGGTCTTTATCAAAGTGCTAACAATATTACACAAATTTAGCACTTTGATAAAGACCGCTAAGGTTGAAACGCGTTAGTGCAATAACTTATGAGACTTCATTTTATATGCTATAGTTGGCGAATAAAAGTTTGTTCCTGCATTTCCTGACTTGATCTTCCATTCAGTCACAAAAGGGAATTTGGACAGTGATCAGCCTAACCTGCCTTTCCAGCATTGTGGTCTCAATTATTCTTATAAGGCGCTTATAGTCTGAGCCACTGAACGGCTCAGCATCACGTGAGTGGGCAATTTTACATTTTATTTACTTTTTGTATATTTTATACAGGCTATACTATGTTCCTTATTTTCTATTTTCAGGACATTGCAGCCATATGGTAATATTGCCTACTCTTATATCTGTTTTATTTGGTGTATAGAGATTGCTCTCACTATATTATTTATATTTCAATCTGAGTTACCTACCTGTACACCCAGTTACAATCTGAGTTACCTACCTGTACATCCAGTTACAGTCTGAATTATGTACCTGTACATCCAGTTACAGTGAGTTACTTACCTGTAGTCCAATTACAGTGTGAGTTACCTACCTGTACATCCAGTTACAGTGTGAGTTACCTACCTGTCCGTCCAGTTACAGTGTGAGTTACCTACCTGTCCGTCCAGTTACAGTGTGAGTTACCTACCTGTACATCCTGTTACAGTGTGAGTTACCTACCTACACGTCCAGTTACAGTTTGAGTTACCTACCTGTACATCCAGTTACAGTGTGAGTTACCTACCTCTACGTCCATTTAGTGTGAGTTACCTACCTGTACATCCAGTTACAGTGTGAGTTACCTACCTACACGTACAGTTACAGTGTGAGTCACCTACCTGTATGTCCAGTTACAGTTTGAGTTACCTACCTACACGTCCAGTTACAGTGTGAGTTACCTACCTGTACATCCAGTTACAGTGTGAGTAACCTACCTGTCCGTCCAGTTACAGTGTGTGTTACCTACCGGTATGTCCAGTTACAGTGTGTGTTACCTACCGGTACGTCCAGTTACAGTGTGAGTTACCTACCTACACGTCCAGTTACAGTGTGAGTTACCTACCTGTACATCCAGTTACAGTGTGAGTTACCTACCGGTACGTCCAGTTACAGTGTGAGTTACCTACCTGTACATCCAGTTACAGTGTGTGTTACCTACCGGTACGTCCAGTTACAGTGTGAGTTACCTACCTGTACGTCCAGTTACAGTGTGCGTTACCTACCTACACGTCCAGTTACAGTGTGAGTTACCTACCTACACGTCCAGTTACAGTGTGTGTTACCTACCTGTACGTCCAGTTACAGTTTGAGTTACCTACCTGTACATCCAGTTACAGTGTGAGTTACCTACCTGTACATCCTGTTACAGTCTGAATTACCTACCTGTACATCCAGTTACAGTGTGAGTTACCTACCTGTACATCCAGTTACAGTCTGAATTACCTACCTGTACATCTAGTAACAGTGAGTTACCTACCTGTACGTCCAGTTACAGTGTGAGTTACCTACCTGTCCATCCAGTTACAGTGTGAGTTACCTACCTGTACATCCAGTTACAGTGTGAGTTACCTACCTGTACATCTAGTTACAGTGAGTTACCTACCTGTACGTCCAGTTACAGTGTGAGTTACCTACCTGTCCTGGCCCAGTTACAGTGTGAGTTACCTACCTGTACGTCCAGTTACAGTGTGAGTTACCTACCTGTACATCCAGCCAGTTACAGTGTGAGTTACCTACCTGTCCGTCCAGCCAGTTACAGTGTGAGTTACCTACCTGTACATCTAGTTACAGTCTGAATTACCTACCTGTACATCTAGTTACAGTGAGTTACCTACCTGTACGTCCAGTTACAGTTTGAGTTACCTACCTGTACGTCCAGTTACAGTGTGAGTTACCTACCTGTACATCTAGTTACAGTCTGAATTACCTACCTGTACATCTAGTTACAGTGAGTTACCTACCTGTACGTCCAGTTACAGTGTGAGTTACCTACCTACACGTCCAGTTACAGTTTGAGTTACCTACCTGTACATCCAGTTACAGTGTGAGTTACCTACCTACATGTCCAGTTACAGTGTGAGTTACCTACCGGTACGTCCAGTTACAGTGTGAGTTACCTACCTGTACATCCAGTTACAGTGTGAGTTACCTACCTGTACATCCTGTTACAGTCTGAATTACCTACCTGTACATCCAGTTACAGTGTGAGTTACCTACCTGTACATCCAGTTACAGTCTGAATTACCTACCTGTACATCTAGTAACAGTGAGTTACCTACCTGTACGTCCAGTTACAGTGTGAGTTACCTACCTGTCCATCCAGTTACAGTGTGAGTTACCTACCTGTACATCCAGTTACAGTGTGAGTTACCTACCTGTACATCTAGTTACAGTGAGTTACCTACCTGTACGTCCAGTTACAGTGTGAGTTACCTACCTGTACGTCCAGTTACAGTGTGAGTTACCTACCTGTACATCTAGTTACAGTCTGAATTACCTACCTGTACATCTAGTTACAGTGAGTTACCTACCTGTACGTCCAGTTACAGTTTGAGTTACCTACCTGTACATCTAGTTACAGTGAGTTACCTACCTGTACATCTAGTTACAGTCTGAATTACCTACCTGTACATCTAGTTACAGTGAGTTACCTACCTGTACGTCCAGTTACAGTGTGAGTTACCTACCTGTACATCTAGTTACAGTGAGTTACCTACCTGTACATCCAGCCAGTTACAGTGTGCGTTACCTACCTGTACATCCAGCCAGTTACAGTGTGAGTTACCTACCTGTACGTCCAGCCAGTTACAGTGTGAGTTACCTACCTGTCCGTCCAGCCAGTTACAGTGTGAGTTAGCTACCTGTACGTCCAGCCAGTTACAGTGTGAGTTACATACCTGTACGTCCAGCCAGTTACAGTGTGAGTTACCTACCTGTCCGTCCAGCCAGTTACAGTGTGAGTTACCTACCTGTACGTCCAGCCAGTTACAGTGTGAGTTACCTACCTGTACGTCCAGCCAGTTACAGTGTGAGTTACCTACCTGTCCGTCCAGTTACAGTTTGAGTTACCTACCTGTCCGTCCAGTTACAATGTGAGTTACCTACCTGTATGTCCAGTTACAGTGTGAGTTACCTACCTGTATGTCCAGTTACAGTGTGAGTTACCTACCTGTACGTCCAGCCAGTTACAGTGTGAGTTACCTACCTGTCCGTCCAGTTACAGTTTGAGTTACCTACCTGTACGTCCAGTTACAGTTTGAGTTACCTACCTGTACATCCAGTTACAGTGTAAGTTAGCTACCTATTCAGATCATTTGTTATAGAACTAAGGACTGGACAACACAGAGTATTAATGCATGTGTGAAGCACAACACGTAGTATTAACACGTGTGAAGCGCTATTGAAGAATCTGGGTAAACAGAGCTGTGACAGTTTTGGATTTGATTATTTTAGCCGGTACCACTGGGATATTGTTTAAGTAGAACTCTTACAACACATTACAAAGGATTTGGCTTTCACAAAAGAATTAGCAGGATTTCACGCTAAGGTATCTAAACTTTTATTTACATTGAACCTAATACAACCCCTGTAACAAGACAGGCTTAAAATAACAGACAATAGGACTCGTGATGCATCATACGGCACTTTAGTAGCATTTACTGTAGTGAGGGAAAGAGAAGCTGGCACCCTCAAAAAGGGAGTATGACTAACAGATATTCATCTACTGCCTGATGCTACTCTAGACTGATTGGCTATCTGATACCCCTTTTACTGGGGTAGCTAATCCTAAAGGCAAGCTTACATTCATACAGCAAGTATTTTAGTTTAGTAATCTTTAGCTTAAGTAGAGACTGACCGCACCCCATTATATGAACATAAATGAGAAAACCCAAACAAACCCACTAAATTAATGAGACTAAGTGGGGTTTCATATCACACATGCACCCTTGAATTGAAAAGTCCATGATAAAGATAGATTGTGCAACCACAGACACTATACTTCGGAGACATCTTGAGTCCAAATTAGACCTTTTAGAGTCCAAATTAGCCTTTTGGACTTGGAGATGTGTAACTTGGAGTCTCAGTCTAAAGTGGTCTAGAAAGAGAAGCCCCCTGACAGAGAACCTAGGACAGAAATACAGCCGAGACAACAAATGCTTACCAGCTGGTGTGCACATATAGACTAATCATATTAGTGTATCTCTCCTCCCCGGACCTCTCCCCTGCTGTCCTGCAACGTGTCACTGCTTGCCTTTCTTCCATCTCTGACTGGATGTCCTCCCGCTTTCTGAAACTCAATCTCTCAAAAACTGAGCTCCTTGTCTTTCCTCCTCCTAATACTGATCCTCCTCTTTCGCTCTCCCTTCAAGTTTGTGGTACCAACATCAGGCCATCCTTGCAA